AACCTAATAGCGATGGCCTCCAACCCAATACCGATGGCCTCCAACCTAATAGCGATGGCCTCCAACCTAATCGCGATGGCCTCCAACCTAAGACCAATGGCGTCCAACCTAGTAGCGATGGCCTCCAACCTTACAGCGATGGGCCTCCAACCTAAGAGCAATGGCCTCCCACCTAATAGCGATGGCCTCCAACCTAAGAGCAATGGCCTCCAACCTAATAGCGATGGCCTCCAACCTAATAGCGATGCCCTCCAACCTAAGAGCAATGGCCTCCAACCTAAGAGCAATGACCTCCAACCCAATAGCGATGGCGATGGCCTCCAACAAAATAGCGATGGCCTCCAACCTAAGAGCAATGGCCTCAAACCTGATATTGATGTTCTCTATTCAGTAAGAGCAATGGCCTCCAACCTAATAGCGATGGCCTCCAACCCAATAGCGATGGCCTCCAACCTACTAGCGATGGCCTCCAACCCAATAGCGATGGCCTCCAACCTACTAAGAGCAATGGCCTCCAACCCAATATGGATGCCCTCCAACCTAATAGCGATGGCCTCCATAGCGATGGCCTCCAACCAAATATCGATACTCTAACCTAATAGCCATGGCCTCCAACCTAATAGCAATGGCCTCCGACCTAATAGCAATGGCCTCCAACCTAATCGCAATGGCCTCCAACCTGATAGCGATGGCCTCCAACCTGAGAGCGATGGCCTCCAAGCTAGTAGCGATGGCCTCCAACCTAATAGCGATGGCCTCCAACCTAATAGCGATGGCCTCCAACCTAATAGCGATGGCCTCCAACCTAAGAGCGATGGCCTCCAACTTAATGTCGATGCCCTCCAACCTGCTAGCGATGGCCTCCAACCTACTAGCGATGGCCTCCACCCAACAGCGAAATTAAGCAGGGCCACCCACACCACCCCTGTTGACTCGTTTCTCCATTGCGGCTTAGAGGCTCGGTCCAGGTGAGGTTCCCGCCGATTTCATATTGGTCCAAGTCCTGCCATCCCACACGCGCTGTGTTGTGCAATGACGAGCTTACACTGCTTCCATCAAATGTATTAAGCTTAAGAACATTCTGATGAAGCGCAATCAACACCAAACCTAGATAGCGCAGGAACCTCTTTTCTATACCTCAGTAAGAATACTGACGACCAACACCTATCAACAGAAGCATTCCGTCCTGGTCTGAGAACTGGATATTTGTGATCTCAGGTGCAGTGTCACTGATCAGGATGCCCACAGGTGTTGTCTGCTCCAACAGACTGGACCTCGCGGCAATTGTGGAAGGGTCTACTACCCTAGTTTTTCAAGAGCTTCCCAAAAATTCAGACGTCCAAACAAGTGTGATCCAGTCAAGCCGAGTCACTTGGTGTAAACGTACATGTAGGGGAAAGTCCCGAGGTACGTATCCTCTCAGGCGCGTTGGGTTTGGTGAGTCACCCTCCAGCCGGGAAGTGAGCGATGGAGGGGTTTGTCTATGCCTAAAGTTCAACTCATGATTCATGATCAAAAGATTGGCTAGTCAAAATGTGCACTCCGAGTTAGTGCCCGAAGCAGCGCGGTGGTGCATTCAGTGTTGAGATCAAAATCGAAGTTGAGAGATTAGCGAAGTGCCAATCTGAGTCAACTGTTCTTCAAGCTTCCCGGACTTCCCTTCCCCAAATGCTACCGAGTCTCTACAGGAATTTCGTAGTGCCGCTCCCCGACACTCACATCAGAAATGACACTGCGATAATCAAATGTCTGATCCTGGCGAATCAAAATGAAAATGAAAGTTGCTTTTCCGATCTGTTGTGTCTGGGTTCGCAGGCAAGGCTAAAGGTAGAACTCCAGTGGTAGCTTAGTAGCTCCTATATAGATAGAACGCACGTCCGTCTGCTGGTTCTGCGAAGGAGCGCACCCAAACCAGCTGTATGGAGTAGTACTTGGTACCCTCCAAAGGTTCTGGAGGTGTCCAGTTGACCTTGAACATCGATACAAAAAGAAGCTTGAGCTGAAACGAAATCTTGAGCTGAATTTTGAGTTAAAGCTATCTTTGGTCCAAATCTTTGGCCCAAACTCCACCACCGAGGTCTAAAGCATCCAAGTCGTAGTCTTCAAAGCGAACATTTGAGACCTGAGAAATGCTTCAAGCGCTGGGCCATTCAAGATTTGAAGCCTTGGCATATCAAAGCATGCGACGCTTTCATCCAGATCCGTGACGTTCACTGCCGAAGGTGTACTTTGTGTCATTGCTGATGATCTCGAGTACACCTCAAACTCGGGACTTCAAGCTTGACCCAAATCCAGTTTCATGTGAAAGTCAATATACCAACCAAATCCCCAACCAGCCGGATCAAGAAATGCTGCTTCAAGGGCTGTCTACCCAACTCAGAATGGAACCAAGATCTGCGTGTAGTTTTCAATCGGAGTGCCTGCCACGCATGATGTGATGAGAAGTGTCTTGCAAACATCTTCTCGAGACAAGTCTCCAAAAATCCTCATGTGCCAAGCCTTCGTTCACGAAGAAAATGCTGCTTTCCGCAGGCGCAGCACCTAGTTCCGTCATCGTAGATGCATCTGACAAAGCGAGGAACACGCGGAAGTCCACCAAAACATCTGGCACCTGAACAGGAAGCGTGACAGGGGATCGAAACACAATTCTCTGATAGCGATATCTCAGTTCGGGTCTATCGAATAAGATGGTAAGAGATCTGCGCTCAGAAAGCACCTGGCCTCTGGCTGCGTCCAGGTAAGTGAGTTCGAGACTTCACCGCCATCTAGATCTTCGTCCGTGAAGGACAAGTTTGTCCTGAGAAAGGCACAGTGAGGCCCATTCAGGAATGATGAGGAAAATAAAAAGTGAGGACGCTACTAGGGGCTCCTGGCATCGCTACTAGGAGCAAGGACGCTACTAGGGGCTCCTGGCAT